AAGCAAAGGCCTTTGAACAGACAGCTGAGATAGCTGAGAGGAGCTGAGAGGGCCAAGAGATGCTCCGCTGCTCCGATCAACCCTGCACTAGCTGTCTGTGAACCTGTTGTAGACTCTGCCTTGCAAGACACTGACCAGCTGCCTCCTGGTTCCGGACCTGATCTGGACTCCTGGGACTCAGGCGCGTTATCCCGCAATTCTCTTGTGCAATGTCATTGCTGATTGTTTCTGAGTGATTATTGTTATTGGGTTATTATAGATTTGGGTTGAATCTGCATTAATAAAAGCTGAGTGAACAGCATAATCATCTGTGTTGGCTGTTACTCCTTGGGGCTACTGTTGCCTGTAGGGCTGGTGGCCCTATAAGCATGGGCACCTCTGGTCCCTGACAAGGGCTGAAGGCTGGCTTATAGGAAAGACTATAGCGTGGTTACTCCTAAGCTTAGAGTGTTGCTCACAACACTCCGACTCTAACAGAGCCCATTGGGCCTGATCGTCAAAGGGCTCCTCGAGCCCCATGCTGACACAGCACTTCTGCCCTCCTGCTTCCTCACCCCACCCATTACCTCAAGGAAAAACATCATAGAAAGACCTCATCTTCTTGGATATTTTAACTTTCCTTGGGTGTAAACATTTTCAAAAAGGCTTGTTTCAATGAATGCCCTAGGAAAATTTAACTGTGCTTTGGTTTGGATTAGACTAGGAAAAGGCAGTTTTTAGTTTCCTAAGAACATACTCTTAAATATTACTTCCAGATACAGACAGAGCTTTGGGATGCTTATGCAGCTCATATGTTTGAGCAAACTGGATCTCTTCCATGGCCAAGTTTTTGTAGTAAGATCTACATTACAACTCAGGCAGTAATCAGGTCAAGTTCAAAGCTCTGTTTTTACAAATGCCATAGAACTGCTGGTGGTCTCCTTACAACTCCTAGGTGGAGATTATGTTCACATTTAATGTCAGAAGGTAAAGTCTTTTCTATTTTGAATAATGCTTGATTTGATTTTGAATAGTGCTATTTATCAAAAATTATTATAATGCTAATTGCTTGCAATTTTGTTTTTGAAACATACTGAAAGAGGCAATGTTGCCACCCTATTACAGGTTAATTCTTTACTTCTAGGCTGACCAAAAGTTGGGGGCAATTCTGAAGACGAGAGCAAGTTTCATTAAAAAAGCACACAAACCAACATGTTTAGCTTCACATCAAAATTAGAACAAGTAATCTTAACTTCTCTTTTAGCTGTCACATTTGGTTTCCTTCAATAGATAATGATTTTTTTCTAGGGATAGGCAACACATTGAAACATTTTCACACTTCAGAGTATGGAAAATGTGATGTACTGCTAAGCTAACGTCTGCATACTAAACACACATTTAAAATGTGCTTGCAAAACCGTGCTTATAGTTAGTTTTCTTATGGGGATAACCATGACCGTGACCAAACATGATACACGCTAAACACTAAACATTTCACCTCCAAAAGGAACATTCCTGAAGAGGTGGATATCGTTAAAATATATATTGGATTGCACCACAAGCTTAGATAAGCTGCCGATTGTCAGGAAAGTCAGCATAAAGTTGAAGCTAAAAATCCATTCTGCTAAATCATCTTTACCAGGGTACTTTTTTTTTTTTTTTTTATCAGGACTCAGTAACAAGGGAAGACTATAAAATATGTGCCTAACAAAACATGTCAGCAGTTTGAATGGAGCGAACGTGTCCAGATCTGAGAATTCTAATAAATAAATGAAGTTGAGCATTTATTGCCAACGATCATGTCACTGGGGCCACAGAAACCTGGAGCCGTGCAGCTGGGAGGCGGGCGTGTGGAGCCGGGGAGGCACTGGAAGGCGCCCAGGTTTTATTATTTATGGCGTGCTGATGAAGAGACAACTTTCCATATGAGGAACAGCTTAACAGAGGAACAGTCAAGCTGAACCAGGAAGAGGGCCAGAGAAAGAGCGAGAAACAAAAGGGGACATGAATAAAAATGACAGCTAATAAAACAATACAAATCTAAAATGCTGTAACTTTCAGAAATAATTTAGGGCCAAAGGAAAAGAAAAAAGAAATCTCATTTTGCTGGCCTTGCGACAATTTTCCAAGAAGCACAAGACATTAAGCAAAATGAATGTGCTGAATTTAAGACCAATTTGTCTCTATGTCTTTCTAGCTCTAAGTTTGGTTGCTCCTAAAGCTGGATTTATTCATAGAAAGGGAAGTGGCAGTTTTGTTTGTATTTAGCTAATGTATCCATTTTCAACAAATATTTATTGAGCACTATTCCACGTCAGGTGCTGGACCCTCTGGGGCTATGTGTACTGAGCAAAAGTCCCAGTCCCTGTCCTCAAGAGACTATGATCTACTGTGGGCAGCAAGAAAGACCACGGTCAAGTTCAGGACACTGGGAGGGATCTGTGATGAGCTGGGCCAGGGCCGAGGAACAGCACAGAGGAGCAGCCGCAGGGAGGAATTCCAGGCCCAAAGTGGAGCCTGTAATGGACGTAATCAGTGACTGTGCTTTCTATATTGATTAGACACTTACCAAACCTCCATACAATTCAAATCTGTTTGATTATTTAAGAATTAAAACACACTTTTTACACAAAAATGAAGTATCTGTGGTTCTAGTAGTTTTCATCCTTCAATTCTGGACTTGAGGCTCACCTGAGCTGTGTTCAGTGATCCTTCTACGAGACCTCTTCTTTCAAGTCTGACAAAAAGCATAATAAGTATTAGCCCCTAGTTCCTGTGTGACCCACCTGTGGCAGTCACTTCATGTATGGCGAATCATGCTTCACAACAATGCCCGGAGGTGGGGTCGTCAGGCGCATTTTACAGACCAGGGACTGGAGCCTGCAGAAGGCGACGGACTCTCTCCAAGCCTCGCGGAGTAGGCGTCCCAGCACTTCCACGCCTCGCTGCCTTTGGGTTCAGAACTGCGCCAACAGCACGTCCGCACCCGAGGAAGGCGTATCAGTGAAGACCTGCTGGCTTCATTGTTCCCAACAGTTCCGTTAGCTAAATTACTCCCTCTTTTCTCCTTCTCTCTCCCCACCATTCTCACTGAAGCAGTGCTACTGTACTAATAAGGGCCAGAAACTCCTTATCTTAGATGACACTAACACAGGGAAGTGTTTATAGAAGCAGAGAACTGTAACATTTTATTCTGAATGCATCCATATACACCGGCACGCAGCGAGGCCGCACCACATGGCAGGTTTCCTTCTCCGTTGAAGATGGGCGCCACGCTGCCCCACCCTGCAGATCCATGTCGAAAACAGCGGGTCCAGCCAGAGCACTCCCCCACGAGGCGGTCACATCTCCCGACTTCTGCTCTCTGTCGCACTCCTGGCTGTCTGCTTCTTTCCACAGACCGTCTGTGCCTGGCTGCGCTGCCCTTGCTGTAATAGGTGGTTAGACACTGGCTACAGGCAGGTGTCTCCAGGACTCCGGGGACTGCGGATTTTCTTTCTGCCCTCACACCTTCACCTCCATAGGTACTCCAGACCCACTCCTCTGTCCTTGGCCAACTGCTATTTCGGAAAAACTGCTTAGTATCAGGGGACTGAGCAGTCTAATGAATTATTTTACAGTTTCAATTCAAACAGTATTCTAGGTAGAACCTATTTTTTAGTCTTTAACCAGTCTTCCAAACAAACTAGGCAATGCACTGAGTGGTAAAGCTGTTTCATGAATAACCCAGTTCTAAAAAGATCCAACAGTGGAGGTCTAATCTCTCTTTGAAACTGCATAGCCTATAATAGGTTGAAAAACCACAGCAAAATTTTTCAGAGATTTCCATACTTACCCTCTTATTTTCAAATCTATAATAATTTGCAAAAAGGCTAGGATTAAATTTTTTCATAGTATTTGAGACAAAGTGTGTCTATGAACACTTGCTTTTAAAATTAGACATTAAAAAGATGACTTAAGACCAATTAGCTTATCAATTAGAAGGTGGTTCTTCCTCTGTTTCAATACCTTCCTTAGCACAGAAAAATGTTGTGCTAATGCCCTGGCCGCGCTTCAGGCACCGGGGCCCGCTGTGTGCTCCGGGCTTTCATCTCAAGACTGGAATTTCAGTAGGATGAGTGCTCAAGCTCCCCCATTTTTAATATCAAGAAAATATTTTTGCAGCCAGGATGGCTAGAAACTTCAAATGGCAACTTTTCTGATTTGAGGTAATTTCCCAGGAATTTAAGAGGCAATCATTTACTCTTGACTTCTAAAGAGAACCTGGGCTTGAACGGCACAGTTGTGTCTAAAATTGATCATTTAGCAGCAACCCTCTGAAGTTACTTGGGAGCAGTTGAGACACCTAGACATCTGGACTGAACTATCTAGTTCACTTTCCAGGCTGTAAATTTTCTGGCCTGAAAATGACTTTATAGCAAAAAAGTGAAATTTTTTATTAGCTGAAGTACTAAAAAAATTTTTGATTACTTTGATATGAAACACTACAGCTGTGGAACGTACATCTAATCTTCACAGCAATATGCATTTAAGAAAACAGAATTTTAGGCCCTGGCCGGGTAGCTCAGTTGGTTACAGCGTTGTCCCTGATACGCCAAGGCTGAGGGTATGATCCCTTGTCAGGGCACGTACAAGGATCAACCAATGAATGCACAAATAAGTGGAACAACAAATCGATGTTTTTCTCTCTCTGAAACATCAATAAATAAAATTTTTTAAAAACATTAAAAAATAGAATTAAAAAACCTGAGTCCTGAAAATATGGATTTTAAGTTATTTTAGATGAGAACCTTATTACATACATTGTTCTATAGGATATTCAAATAAACAAGAGAATTTAATAAATAATAATATGGTTGATAAATAATTTTGGCATCTGGAAATTTTCACTTTGCCCTACTTAAACAAGAAAATACTTGAACAAAAAGACATACACACACTCAAGCATACATTTTTACTGAAAACTCTATCTGAAGAAAAGCCTAAAATCCTTCACATTTCAATCTCTAAATTCTGATCTCTTTATTTATTCTGAAATAAAGTCTAAGGCATAAACAGTTAGTATACAGAATTTTGAAATAAAATGGCATATGGTTAGAAAAATACGGATCAAGGACATATTTCATAAGAAAATAAAATTATGTACAAAAATCACTTCTGCTTATTAATGCTGATTCTAACTTGTTTGATCTCTATCACTGGGTGCCACCGTAAGACAAGAACTTGGAGAGAACGGGGATACAAAGCTCTCTCTAACCCTGGGGCCCCAGCATTTCATTTTCCCATTTCCCTGGGAAGCTCGGTCCCTCCCTGGTGAGACAGTGCCTTCAGAATCCTCCAGAGCCTTGTAGGGTCCTCACAATTGTGCCCTTGTTGCCAGTGCAGGAGGAGCTCTTCTTTCCTCCCAAGCGTCCGCGCACAGAGGACGCAGTTAAAGCCCGAGTGGGCCTGGAGGGGAGCGGAGTGTGGGCTGAGACACCCAGGGCCCTGGGGGGCTTCTCCTGGCTCGCTGGGTCCAGGCTGGGCTCCTTCGTTTTTTGTGAGTATTTCTATGTCATTCTGACGGTTAGGGCAGAGTTGCTTCTTCAATTTGGGAAATGCATGTACTTCCTCATCGGGGGGACGGGGTTTCAACAGTTTCCTTCTTTCAGGATGCTGTTTCCAGGAAGGAGCAGCATGTTCAGCCAGTTCTCCCTGAGCTGCTTGGCTTCCTGGGGAGATCTCCTCTTGCAGCCGGCCCTGAATTTCCTCTCCATGGACAGAAAGTAAATGAAACTTGATTTCAGCGAAAGACTGGGCAGTGATCTGACAGCGGCCACATTTGATTTGCAATTTGACTTCGTCTGCCTGGTTTAGGAGGAGGTCTTCTTCTAGGCTGGATTTGTTTTCCCTGAAAAAGGGAAACATACTCAATATAAAATTGCATGGAAAAAACAGCACTGGAACTTTTCCTTTTTTAAACTCTTAGCCATCAAAGATCTGAAACACAGCTGCTGATGGGTGAAGCACGAAGTAGGTAGAGGGAGCATGGGAAGGACCTCAACTGCCACTCCTGCTTGGGGCCACACACGTCCCCAGCTACCGGGGGCATCCTGGCATTGCCCCCAGGGGCGCTGACTAGTCTTCAGTTACTGCAGGATCAGGTGTCATCAACGTGAGTCAGGTGGCACCAAGCGAGGCGCTCCAGGAACACGCTGGGCTTGGTTGACAGCAACTGTTCCACGTACCCTCTGTTGCCACTGTTGCCAGCTCTAGCCTTGAACACCAAATTTTATTTGGACATTTTACCTAAAAATCAAAATGGGCTACAGGAAAACAATGACAAGGGCCAGAAAATCTAGTGGGGGAAACTTTAATTTCCATGGTGCTAATGAAGATTCAGTTAAGTGAAACTCCCTGGCATACTCACTGCTCTAAGAGAGCTCTGCCTGCCAGGCTTAAGGGTGGCTTAGCTTGTTGTTTACACGGCCAGCAAGCAGTACCTGCAAAAGGGAATCCCGCAGGAAAAAGTTAATGTGACCCAAAGGGGAAAACAGGGCACACGCAGAGGGGTTTGAAGTCTCAACACCTTAGGGTCTGGTCACATTGAGGCGCTGCCATGGGCTATGTGATGTTCTGGGGCAAATTTGATGCTGTTTAGATATAAATTCTGTGAACACCATTTTGGGGAAATTATTTGTAGAGTACCAGGAACTATATACAATGTACTATCTCACATCAGATACAAATATAATACATCACCTGACTGACCCCAGCATACCTCAGAGAGGCACTTGTGGCCTGGCTTCAGGGGTTAGAGTCATTATAAATCATGACTCATCAGAAAACAATGGGAAATGAGATTTTCCTTCAGAGAACTAGAGGGAAGTGGGAGTTACCTCATAAAATCGGACTCTGAGAGATGTTTTACAAACTTATCTTTCTCAATAGGAAATCTTAGCCTGTCCCCCCAAATCCACACAGACAGTCTCGCCAGGTTTCCATTCGTTGGCACTCACCTCTGCACAGGCACCTCTCTGTCTCTGCTTTTTGGCACGTCTCCTGGTGGCAGTTCGCTGGGGGAGGACTCGGTGCTGATGACAACCCTGTGCACTTCTTTCAGATGGCCAAAATAGACTCTGACGTGACCGAACACTTTTGCACAAAATTCACAGCACATGAGTTTCTTCAGGCGGTTCTCACTGTGGTGAAGTTTCACGTGTGAGCTCAGGCTGCCAGAGCGGACGTACGCCTTGCGACAGATTCGACAACTATAAGGCCGTCTGTTCGTGTGTGTGTTCATGTGGTCTCGAAGGTGCTGTTTGAACTGGAAGTGGTGGTTGCAGACAGGACATCTGTGCCAAGGCTTCTTAACGCCAGAGAATCCATTTCTGAATGCAGAGCTGGGCTTCGGGGAAGAAGAGCTGTTGTCCTGCTTACAGCTGAAATATTTAGGAGGGAGAGAATTATTTAACGCAATATCCTGCCATAGGCCACTGGGCCTTTGGGATTGGAACACAGCTGCAGGAGAAGCCAGGGGAGCCACAGCGGGCATGACAACAACAGGTTTCGGCATGATGCTACGGTATTTCTTCATAGACCCAGGTTTTTGGTCTCTGGATTGTTGGGGATCATTTTTCATTCTTTTACTTTTTCTCCTTTCCCCCTGAAATGACAAGATTTCATCTGGTACTTTTGATTTTCTTCCTTTTCTCTTTGCTGCCCCGCTGCTCAGTTTTGCTTTGTGGCTGAGGTCCAGTTTGGTGGCTGAACAAAAGGCGCTCCCACAGGGACTCTGCTTCAGCACCTGCGGACCAGGCGCCCTATCAGCCATTTTGGTGGCTGCATCAAAGCCGTTTGTGATGGCGGATGTCTTACCGTAGTCCGTCCCGAGCCCAGGTAAAGAAAGATCTACAGCGTTAACATCTGACTCACTTTTATAAACCTCTGTTGTTTTCATTCTAGAGTAGGGTAAGATTGGCAGTTTACCTTTGGGGATCGAGGGGATCAACTGAAGTGCGCTGCCAAAAACGGCTGGCGACAACTTGACTGTGCCTTTTGCAAGATCAACTGGTTCTTTATGTTTTTCACTGGCAACAACAGAAGGTTTAGTGGGTGCTTCTTTGCTTGCACAGTTTTCTTTCCCTGAAATCTTCAAGAGGCCCCGCCTGGCAGAAGGTTCCTCTGGTGTGGATGATGTTGGGGTGTCAGGATGGTTCAGCTCTCCACAGCCACTGGTCAGCGTGGCCATGCTGACGCTGGCCGGGGCTGGGCCTAGTGACGGCACTGGCTTGGATGGACTGGGATGGGGCAGGGGTTTGGACTGGTCAGGGAGGGAGGAGGCTGTTTGGGTCTGGGCAGGCAGTTTGCTACAGCCACTTTCAGGGGAGCTCCAAATGGGATTCTTGGTCGATCCTTTGTTATTTCTCGGGGGCTGGTATCGAGGAATAGGCAGTTTAAGGTTTTCGGGCAGGGACAGCCTGCGTTTCTGGATTGGCTGAGCTGAGGCAACATGAGGCAATGCCACGAGAGAAAACGTCCCCTCCTGGCCAGCAACCTGCATCAGAGCATAATTCTGGGTGGGCACCCCCAGTGGCGTGGAGCCGACGGAAGGGCCTGGGTTCACCTGATCAGAGAGTGACGGCGAGTGGCCTGACAGCACTCTGGGAGTTAGGACCTTGGGAACAATTTTCGGTGCAATGGTCCTAAACTGACTCTTATTCTGCAAACCTTTCCCACTCCGTAATGTTCCAGAAGGCATGACTGATTCACCTGCAATGACATTACAATGTAAAAAGTCACCTTGGTATAATCGTTCTGTTGTTCAGAGTGCAAATAAGCATCTTATCATTTCCTCTGCCTAGAAGGCATTCCCAGACCCGCCCCTACTCTTCTGGGCCAGCTTCTGCGTTCTTCAGCATCCAGCGTGAAGGGCAGCTGCTGCCTGCCTTTCCCAAGGATCAATTATTATTCTCCTCTACAGTTCCATAGCCCCTATATAACGTTTGCCACTTTTCATAATAACCTATCTGTTTATATGTCTCTACTCTTAAACAGAGCTTCTTGAAAGCTAGACTCTGTCCTGCTCAACTTTATTCCACTAAGACCATCCTCTCTGTTAACCTAATTCACCTTTACTGGCTGGTGCCAGCCCACCTCCTGTCCTGCTCTCCTGAGCTAGTCATCCCCTCTGGTGTGTTATACTGTGGATTCTACTTATTTTATATACATGTCGTTGTCCCTATAAAATTTACGCTTTGTGAGGGTGAAGCTGATATTTAATTCATCTTGGTATTTCCCCCTGTATCTTCAGTATGAAAAACAAACGTTTATTGTATCAAACTCATTTTTCACTGAATTTCAGGACACACCATTTGACCCCTTGGCAGTGTGATTTGTTTTGCACAGTGGATGAATTCCAGACTGAATGCTAGCTTTGTTGCTGTTTCCCCATGTGACTTGTGAATTTCTTCTCACACCTTTCAAACTGTTTATGTGCGCTTTTGCAATTAAATCACCAGTATTAAAAAAGCTGATCTGACACCTTAAGAAATGTTGAAGAAAAACAAAAAGATAGAAAGTGATAGGTAAAGATACAGAGACAACATAAAAAATACACAAACTCACACAAAAAGCACCTCCTAGCACAGTAATAGGAACAGTTTGAACTAAGAGAATAGCACTTCATCCTGCCCTCGTTTATTATGACTAAAGGCCAATTACTACTACTCTAAGAAAACAAGTCAGGAAACATGGCACTGAACTGCTTCTAAGGACAGAATCATCTGTTTCATTCCTGAGGCCTCAGGGCTGTAAGGCCCTGCTGCAGAAAAATCCCCAACTTCTAAGTTCCTCATTTTGAGCAGATTTCACTCCAACTCACACTTCCTGGGTACCTACACTAATCTAAGGAGTGGCTCTGACAGGCCCACAATCCCCCTTCTAAAATCTTTGGGGCACAATATATTTTGGAATTTCTACTTACTAACGTTTTAAAAAGTCCTAAGATGCACACACTAAATGTTACATAATACCCAGCAGAGTCTGCAGTGCACCCCTAATTCAGCCTATTACTGCTTCTATAGCAGAATATGTAAGTGAGTATTCACAAAAGTGGGGCAAGGGGAGATTTCTAAGTAGCCTTACTCAGTTCAGGTTTTGCCTCTGGTTGAGTTTTTGGTACCCAACTTTTGATAACATTTTTTGTTTACACAGCTTTTTAGATTTTGGAGTTATGAACAAGGGCTTGAAGAATTCTTTGTTTAGGGGATACCAAGGACATAAAGATGAAGAGACAATTTCTGCTCTCGGTAGCTGGAATCTAGTGAAAGAGACAATTAAAACATTTTAAAAGATCAACCTTGGTTTTAATGTCTTTAGCTACTGAACTAACAATTTTAGCAGGAAGTTGATTTTTTTTCCAGTGAAAATGACACTTCCCAAATAAACAAACTGTAGAATAATAGGAATAAGAAATGTATACTGATCAACTTATTTTATAAAGTAATCACTGTCTGGGGAGGAAAAAGTATGTTAAAAACATATTTCACATGGAGGCTTGCATTAGAACAAGAAGGGAAACCACTAGTGCTGTGGTCTTGAAAACTCACACAGGGATAATTGAGTGATCTGTTCTCCTTTCTAGCTTTGTTACCTTGAAGTTCATGGGTAAACTGATTAATCACCTGGCGATTGTAACCTAAATGTGTCTGCTACATTTGCTGCTTCTTCCTATGTAAGTTATTTATTTTTTAGGTTTATTTTCATAGCCTTTAAAGTTAAATGTCTTTCATTTTAAGCCTCATCTCCTCTTTTTGGAAGAAGTACTGAAGTTGTAAATAAGTATAGTAAATTAGGATTGTGAGGCTTTGTGAAAAGTTTAAAATTATTGATGACTTTTGGTTATCTAGAGACAAGGCTTATTAAAAAATTACATTAACAATAATAACAACAGTCTTTGCATCTATACAACAGATCGGGAGTGAGGAACAACGGGAAGAGAAAACATTGGGTCATTTATATCTAGTTCATGCTCTTGACTGATTGAGCACAAAATATTTACAGTAAGAAGAGATGGGCGAAAGGCAACTTTGTCCTTAGTCATAAATCCTCACGACATAATATGTGACAATAGCACATCAAATCCTAAGCCACCTCACCTCAGTTGACTGCTCCTAAGTGTCCAGTGGTTCTTCATCCCCGAGCCAAAACCAAAGCGCCTGCAATGGCCAACAAGGCCTCCTGCCATCTGGCTCCTGGGAACCTCCCTAATTATTCCCTCCTCTCCAGTCACGGCGGTCTCCTTGTTGTTCTTTAATTGTGCCACACACTCCCTCAGTCTCTGCGCTTGCTCTCGCCGGTGAGCGTTTCTCTGACTACCTGATTTGAAACTTGCCCCTGTTCTGAGCCCCCTGCCCTCCATTTCAGTTTCCTGGGCACACCGGCTCCAGCCTCGGGACTGCACTGCGGGCCCGCGGCCCCGACAGAGTGACCTCCCTGAGGGCTGGGGGCTGGCTTACGTCTTCAGGGCCTAGGACAGTGTTGGGCACGTGGCAAAAATGTAATAATTACTTATTGAATTTCTACATGGTAGTCAAGTGATTAATGGCTGACATAAAGAATTTACAGATTGAACCTAGGAAATTTTCTAAAAATTAAATTACTTAAAAACAAAGTTTAACATTTCCAAATGCTGAAAATTTAAAAAAGACAAAGGAGGACATATCTCTGGAAGATTGCTTATGTTGTTGTTTGTTTGTCTTAATTAAATTACACTTAAACTGCCAGAATAAGAAAATGGGTTATTACCACCATAAAAAACTTTACAATCAAGGGACAGGTGAGGTCAACCCACCAATCATCTGAGGAAATAAGAGAGAACAGTAAATTATGCTGCTGGGATACAAATGAAAATAGTCAAAGAAGCAAGCAAACTCTGAAGAAGAAATTGCATGAAAGAAACAGATTTAGAGGGAAAAAGGAGGGGATTAGAGTGTAGAAAGCAGAATCAACTAGAAATGGAAACACTAAACCTCAGAGGCAGCGGATGGTAACATCAACACAAAAAGGAGCAGAAATAACAAAGAACAGAAGATGCGGCTAAAGCAACAACCAGTGGTCACGGTCAACTTGAAGTCTCTGAAGATTTTAGTTGGGCAGGGCCTTCCTAGTTTTTATGACGAGGTGTAAGAAAGAAAGCAACCTTTTGACAGGTAAGGTTTCCAGAGATCAGCCATTCCAAAGGGAGTGAGCTAATTATGATGCATTCAAAGTTAATGTGCTTTGATCTTCCAAAGTTTCCCCATCATAGTGGAAATAAAATCACAGAAGAAGAGCAATAGTATTCACAGGAAAAAGAGGCAATTGTGGTCTAGGAGCCCCTTCAGGGTACGCAGTGGTCCCAGCAAGGGAGAACAGGGATCAGTGAGCAGCCTGGGTAACTTGAAAGGATAGAGTCCTAGCTGATAGGTATGGAGTCTGTCACACAGAGTTAGTTGTCCTTAAGTTCCCTGCAAGTTAGAGAAGTGGATACAAGGTGGATACAATCTAGAGAAGTGGATACAAGTAGACAACTTTATCATTGGTTTCACCATCAATTATTATAAGCTAACCATAAGAAATCTATGGGATAAAAAGATAAGGGTTTATTGGGTAAATTTAACTTACTCAAGTTTACCTGAATCTGTCAAAGTACACACAAGGCTGAGGGTCTTCATGAAGGTGTGTTGAGTCTCATTTCCCAGAATCAATAAGAAATAAGCGATATGGAATGAAACTGATACATTAGAAGAAATGCAAGGTAGGAGAAAGAGGGCCAAGCCACATAAATAGAAGAAAAACAAAACCAAACCCTAGGAATTATTTAAATGTCTAGCAACAGGGTACTAACAGAACAATCATCCAACCATATGATGGAATACTATGCAGCAGTAAAGAAGAAAATGAGTTAGGCTGGCACGAACTACTCTCCAAGATGTGAGATTTATAGTATGCTATCACTTGGACTTTAAAAAGACTGTGCGACACACACACACACACACATACATTCCTGTCTATGCATAGGATATTTCTGAAAAGAAACAAAATAAACTAGTATTACGGTGGCCTTTGGGGCGGCAGCACTCGGGGAACGAAGAGGTCAGGATGAGACAGGTACTTATTTTGCACTGAATACTTTCTGTGCCTGGCATACAGGAGGTGCTTATAAATATTTGTTGAATGAATGAAAGGAGAATGAAAATTTCCCTATCTGAATCCATTTTTAGAAAGGGTATCTTTTAGGATAGTGATTTTCAACCGGTGTGCCACAAACATCTGTAAAACATACAACACCTGACTATTTAGTCAGGGGCACTGACCTCTTTTCCCTTAGATTGTCAAGTAAAAAAAAATGACAACAGCTAACACAACAACAACCATCTGGTGTGAATGAACCATAATTATACCTATTTTTTTTTTGTCAGATTGGCAAAATATATTTTTTTGGTGTGCCGCAGAATTTTAGTAATTAGTGTATGTGTGCCGTGAGTTGAAAAACATTGAACATTGTTTTAGGATAGTCATGATGGGGAGGTGTGTGTGTATGAATAAATGGCTATGTCTAGATCACACACAGTGTCATGTTTTTTATTTTCCTTGCCTACTTAATCACAGGAAATGCTAGTGATAAGGGAATTGACCTAATAATCTGACGGGCAGTGCACACCCACCCCCAGAAGCCAAGCGCTGAGGAGCGTCAGAGCTCACTGCCTCCCGAGACAGCTGGAGTCCTCAGGATTGTTCCTCTGAACACTTGGCTCTTTAGGATAAAACAAGGCAAACTGCAATAAAGGTCAGTTGTGCTACAATAACTATAGGCCCTTTTGTTCTTTTTAAAGTCGTTTGCGTAGGAGCTCTTGGAGAAGTTGAAAGTGCCATTAAGTGTTTAAAACTCTAAAACACTAAGACTGTATGGTTATAGGGAGTATTTCTTCACAATGTAGCTACAAGAGTGCTTTCCTCCACCACACACTTACGAGGCCTCTCGCAGATGGGACCAAAAAACTCTCACCTGTCACCTACTAAATTACAGATGTCGCAGACCTGTGCACTAAATAATGAGAGGTAGAAATTTCCACTGACATTCATAATTTCTGGAAATGCTGCAAAATTACCCATAACACAGTTTAAGAGACTCACAGGATGGACTTTTATTAACTGAAAACATAAAAGGCTGACTCAGTAAAATTAATTTTGCACAATTATACAATGTGAATACTTAATACTAGGAATTTAAATGTGGGCTGTTTTTAGTATGTTAAGTATATGAAAAATAACTATTTTGAAAGTAACATTTACAGAAACTGATCTAACTGTGGATTAAAGGGAAACTAATAGATATTGAGTCCTCACTATGGTCTAGAATCTGTGCTAGGTCTTTTAATTGAACCCTCACATAAACCCTGCACAGAAATATTATTGTTCCCCTTTTATAGATTAAGAAAAACAAGTCTTGAGGAAGTTAAATAATGTGCCAAGGTCCACACAATCCAAATCTGTCCCATTCCTTTTTAAAGCAATCTTTTAACCTTCTTCTCTTTCATTCTCTCCTCAAAAGGAGGAAAATTACATACAAGTTGCCCTAATTAAC